CCATCCCCCCCCCATTGTGTCCACCTACCTGCCCACCAATGTGTCCACCCACCCACCACCGGTGTCCACTCATCTCCGTGTCCACCCACCCACCACCGTGTCCACTCATCCACCACCTGTGTCCGCCCACCACCATGTCCACCCACCCACCACTGGTGTCCACCCACCACCGTGTCCACCCACCCACCACCTATGTCCACCCACCACTGTGTCCGCCCGCCTCTGTGTCCACCCACCCACCACTGGCGTCCACTCACCACTGTACCCACCCACCACTGTGTCCACTCACCACTACACCCACTTGCCTGAGCTTGCCTATCCTTAAGGGGAAGTCCAGAGAGCTTGTGAGCATGAAATTAACCACACGCCTTCATAACCTTCTCTTGAAAATCTGAAGGCTTAAGACTGGCATATCATAAGCTCAAGACTAGCAACAAGAAACCAATGAGAGCAAGTCGAGTGGGGACAGCAGGTGGCGAAGCGGTTACAGTGCTGGACTCCCATGTGGCTACCAGCAGTTCGAGTCCCAGACCAGGCAGCTTGAAACTCACACTGGGCACCTGTGCATGCATGCCTAAAACCCCAGGAGGAGAAGGGAAGAGAAGGGCATGGCCTTCCCCCTTGGGAGGTGGTCTCTTACTTTCTCTCTCTGTGTCTCTGGCAAGCACACGTGCCCTGTGGCAAAAATCTCTCTTAAAAAATAGAGAACAAGACCAGTAACCCAATAGATAAATGAGGAAAAAATAGGGATAGCCCACATAACAGGAAATGTCCAAAAACACTCAGACTAACTCACTAATAATGTACAAATTAAAGCTATTTTGCGATTCTTTTTACCCATTAACTTGGCAAAAATCAAAAGTTTATTAGTGCCATTTGTCGGAGAGGCCGATGGGAACAGGCACTCTACTGGGGTACAAAGTGATGCAACCCCATTGCTACGGTTTGAATGTCTCCCATTAATCCACGTGTTGAGATTTGGAGAGTGACAGTAATGGTGTTGAGAGAGCGGAGACTTAATTTGACTATGGTGTTAAACTCGGGGCCTTTGGGAGGTGATTAAGATTGGAGGAAGTCATGAAGACAGCCCCACGATGGACTCTCAGTGACTTTGTAAGGCGGAGCACAAACACAGACATGGGTATTCTTGCTCTGTCTTGTCATATGATGCCCAGTGCCACTCTGAGACTCCACAGAGCATCTCCACCAATGGGAAGGCCCTCACCAGATGTAGCCCCCGATCTTGGACCGCCAAAACTGTGGACTAAATAAACTCTGTCCTTCACACACCACCCAGACACAGGCATTCCATTACTGAGAACAGAGAATGGACTAAAACAGCTATGAAGGATAGCATGGCAGGATCTAGCAGGATTACAAATGGGGACCAGCAGTTAGCGTAATGGCTGTGTCGCTGGACTCCTATGTAGTCGACCACAGTTTGAGTCCCGGACCCCATGGCTTAAACTCTCGCCGGGCACATTTGCGTGCATGCCCAAGATCCTGAGAGGAGAATGGAGGAGAAGGGATCGTGGTGTGGCCATCCCCCCAGGGGGTGATTTCTCACTTTCTGTCTCTCTGTCTCTCTCTTTCTGGCAACTGCATGTGCCCTATAGCAAAAACCTCTCCAAAATTTTTTTTTAAAAAAGATTGCAAATGTATTTACCCTACTATGAGAGATTTACTCAATAAACATACCTGCACATATTCAAATATACATGGTTCTTTATTTCATCGTGGTTTGAAATAGCAAATGATAGGACCAGCAGTTAGCGTAATGACTAGGTTGCTGGACTCCCATGTAGTCGACCGTGGTTCGAGACCCGGACCCGATGGCTTAAACTCACGCCGGGCACATGTGCATGCTTGCCCAAGATCCCGAGAGGAGAATGGAGGAGAAGGGATCGTGGTGTGGCCATCCCCCCAGGGGGTGATTTCTCACTTTCTGTCTCTCTGTCTCTCTCTGTCTGTCTGGTGAGTGCACACACCCTATAGCAAAAATATAAAACCTCTCAAAAAAAAAAAAAGAAAGAATCTGGATCAGGGGCCAGCCAGTGGCATGGCAGTTAAGACAGCTGGATCCCACGTGGCCGACTATGCAGTTCAAGTCCTGGACACAGGAGCTTGACAAACATGCCAGGTGCATGTGCACATGTGTCCAAAACCCTAAAAGGAGAAATGGAGGATTGCGACATGAACATGCTCTACAGAGGGGGTGCTTTCTCACCTTCTGTCTCTCTCTCTCTCTCACTCTCTCATGCAAACATGCATGCACTATATCAAATTTTAAAAAATATTCACAGGTGTTTCATAGTCAAAAAATAGCAATATTTATTTAACTGTTTAAGTTATTAGTTTTTTAAATAATTCCTTTCCTATGAAGAACGCAAGATGCACACTTAGAGCTTTTAATTTATAACAGTAAACTTTCTTAATATTTGTAATTCTTTTCAAAGTTTTTTTTGTCAGTGACTCACAAAGGTGAAAGGAGAAGAGTGAAGGTGAAAGAAGTCCATAAAGAGGGCAAACGTGAATGAGCAAAATAAATTTCCACCAGCAAAGGGCCAGCGCCAATTAGCAGTGAGGCCATCCAGCCACGGGAAAGCTGTTACCAGTTTTTGCCCTATGGTGACTTCATAACTCATCCTTGTCCCCCACTCTTCTAGAAGGCAGACTGTTGCCCAAGGTCTAAGCACTCTGACTTTAGACCAGTCCGAAGGAGGATGGCAGAGAAACAAAATAGGCAGGGTCAAGTGGTAATGGGAAAACACCAGCGTGGTTAAGACGGACTTAAAGAGGGTCGCAGGGGACTAGCAGTTAGCGTAATGGCTATGTCGCTGGACTCCCATGTAGTCGACCACGGTTCGCGTCCCGGACCTGGTGTTTTAAAATTCACGCCAGGCGCGTGTGTGTGCGTGCCCAAGATCCCAAGAAGAGAATGGAGGAGAAGGGAGTGCGGAGTGGCCATCCCCCCTGGGGGGGTGATTTCTCACTTTCTGTCTCCCTGTCTCTCTCTGTCTGTCTGGCGAGCACATGCACCCTATAGCAAAAACCCCTAAAAAAAAAAAAAAAAAAAGAGGGTCACAGAGAAGTGAGAGGATCGATATGGGTGAGAAAGCGACTTCAACATTACATAACTGGGCCTCAGACGTGTTTGAAAACAGCCAGCACAGGGTATTGGTAATGGCCGTGGTGGGTCCTCTGGGCATGAACATGGGCCACATGTTCGATCTGAGCATTAGAGAAAGAGGGTCCCCTATAATTTCCAGAGAGGGTAAGAGCTGGGAGTGGGAGTGAGGGTGGGCTACATGCTGAGAAGGAGAAGCTGGCATTACAGAACCAAACATGGGCAAAGAGGATGGGACGGACAGGTCACTAGAAGGCGCGGTACCCAGGCAGAAGCTCAGGAGCAAGTGCCTGTTCCTGTGACCTCTGGCTCGAGGACAAGGTTCTCTTTCATTCATGGAAGGAAATGCTGAGGTTCGCTCACAGCGAACTCTGGTACTGCCACAGTGCCGGTGTTTTCCTGGGTGGTAAGGCTCCTACTCACTCCTCGGGCGTCAGACAACTGCAGACATCTCATAACTGATTGCTGTGAACGGGTAAATGGCCAGTCGGCCCTCAGTTCCCCAGCCAAGCAGACAGAGATCAACGGTGACGGGTGAAAGGCGAGAGAGATGGGGAAGGGTCTCCTCTCAGCTGCCCCGACGGGGCCGGTGTTTCCCAGACAGTAGGAGGAAAACGGAACTTGACACTACACTCCTCTTACAGCAAATGGTTATTCCAGAAAACACGCAGCCGCACCTGAACTCTTCGAATGAAAAACAAGACAAAACGAGCCAGGGCATCTCTGCCTTCCTGTTGAAGAACCTGTTTAAAAAGAGAGGGGAGGGAAGTGGTTAAAAAAAATCGATCGAATATCCAAAGTTAGAAATTTAACACAAGAGGAACTGCTGATTCAATCAGGGCTGCAAACAGGCTTCCTGGCTGTTTTCTGGATTATCCGAGCGGAAGGACAGTACCGAGGTCCCTTCCGTATGTCCATATCCTCCACGCGCCCTTGAGCCGTGTTCTCTGAGCGCTTTCACCACCTGGATCATCAGCGAATTGGGGCACTCTTCAGGGCTCATAGCCTATCCCTCTGGCTTCCCAGAAACACCTTCCTAGTCCCTTCAAAGAAACGAGTGAGTTCACATTGGGGCTAGGAGAATGGATAGGACTTAGCTGGATGAAGAGGTGAGCTGAATTTGAGCAACGCTGGCGGTGACAGAGTGCCATCGGTTTTGTGGGGCACTCAGTAAATGCCACTGTTCGTGTGGAAACATCAGGAAGGGAGGCCGAGGGTCAGAAACAAATGCTCGGTGCCAGCAGATGGTGTAGTGGGTACATCTCTGGACTCCTGCATGGCCAACTGTAGTTGGAGTCCCAGATCGGCAGCTTGAAACTCACACGGGCTGCGTGTGTGTGTGTGTGTGTGTGTGTGTGTGTGTGCCCAAGATCCCAGGAAGAGAATGGAGGAGAGGGGATTGTGGCATGGCCATCCACACCCCCATGAGATGAGGGGTGATTCCTCACTTTCCCTCTCATCGTCTCTGTCTCTGTCTCTCTCCCCAGAAAGCACACACAGCCTAAGGCAAAAACTTCTAAAAAAAGAAAGTGAGAGAGAGAGAAACAAATGCTCTCCTGGCCCCTGCCCTGGGTCTGTCCTCAGGAAGGCCGCACCACTGGGCTGTCAAAATGGGGCTCCCCTGCTCAGTGCTCTGGGACCGGGCCACCCCCATCAGAAGAAAAGTCCTTAGTGCAACTTCAAAGCTCTATGCCATCTGCCCCTCACCCACCTCTCTGACCGTATCTTGACCACTTCTCCCTCTCTCAGCATTGGCCACGCTGGCCTTGCCATTCAAACATGCCAGTTGCACTTCTGCTTGAAAAGGAGGAAGGGCTTTGCTGCCCCCACCTCCAGGGCTCACATCTCCCGTGGCACAGCCCCTCCCACACCCTGTCAAGGGCTTATTCAGCCCGTACCTTCTCAGTGAGGCCTTCCTTGACGCCTCTACCTAAAACCTCAATGCCCCCAACACGCCTCATCCCTTTTCTTGTTTCATCTTTCTCCAAAATGTGTATCACCATCTGATAAGCTGTACACGTGGTGTGTGTGTTGTTTGTCTCCCTTATCAACTCCGTGAAATCAGATTTGCCTCTTGATCACTTCTGTCTCCCCAGCACTTAAACACCCTGACACATAGCAGGTGCTCAGTAAGTATCAGCTAAATGAGTGATAAACCAGTGGCATCAGGCTATTTAGTCTGTCCTGTCCGTAAGGAATCACGAAAGGATTGTTTTCCCCTTTGAGAGTTGACATCAGTTAGAAAAATTGAGTGAATTTCCTTCTAGTACAGCAGACTAGAGAAAACACAGCACACTGAGTCAGATATCTTCCAGATATGTCAAGTCCAGTTTAAAAGCTGAGTGACCTTAGGTTACATAATCTCTCTGAAACTCAACTGCTGCTCCTGAATTATCAAGGCTAGAAATTCATAGAGCTACTGGGAGAAATAAAAGAAACATGTACAAAGTGTCTCCAACAGTACTTAGAAGAAATTGTTTAATAAATGTATCCTGGGGCCAGTGGGTGGCATGATGGTTAAAGCGTTGGATTCCCACATGGCCAGTTGCGGTTTGAGTCCTGGACCCAGCAGCTTGAAAATAACACAGGGCTCGTGTGCATGCATGCCCAAAATCCTGACAGGAGAATGGAGGAGATGGGATTGCGGCAGGGCCCTCTCCCCTACCAGGGGATTTCTCACTTTCCCTTTCCCTTCTCTCTCTGGCGAGTGCATGCATCCTATGGCAACAACCAAATAAATAAATAAATGTAAGTTTCCCTTCCCTCTTTCTAACAAACCAGTTCATTCTCTGGGCCTTACTGTTAGCAGTCAAGATGCCAGAGGAATTTGGCATACCAAATTAAACAAATTAGGGTGGGTTAAATAAAAACACTATCTACACAAAGGTGTGGGGACGCCACAGGGGCTAGGAACAGAAGAGCTGCCACCACTCCTAGGCCTATAGAGACAAGGAGAGAGCACTTTCCAGGACTCAGAAGGAGAGAGTACTGTGGAGAAATATCAGATTGTTGGAACAGTCATGACGTATTTTTAATATGTTTTTCTTTTTTATTCTTTTTTTTTTAACTTTTTAAATTTCATTTTCTTTTATATATTCAATCACATTATTTAGCTTACAACATGAATATTTCAACAGGTGAACATTTCTCCCTACTCCAATTGATGAAACTATAAAACATCTTCAACAGATAATACCACATTTCTTTGTCCCATTAATGCTTTGCCTCCCTATTTTTCTTCTAAATGTCCTTCCTCAGACGCTCCTCCTTCACACACACTATGTCTGATATTTACATCCATATACTGTGTTTCTATGTCCTTCAATCAATCAGTTTCAGTCGTAGAGTGCTGACATTCAGTATATATTAAGTGGGGACATACAGTGTCTCTCCTCATAGCCTGGCTTGCTTCACTCAGCAATAAATCTTCCATATTCTTCCATCTTCTGTCAAAAGCCAGGGTTTTGTTGTTTTTTACGGCTGAATAGTATTCCATAGAGTATATGTGCCACAATTTTTCCATCCATTCATCTGTTCATGGGCATTTGGGTTGGTTCCATGACTTAGCAATTGTGAATAGTGCCACAATAAACATTGTTGTGCAAGCACTTTTCCAATTAAGTGTTCTTCTGTCCTTTGGGTAGATACCAAGGAGTGGGATTGCTGGATCATATGATAGTTCTATTTGTAGATTTTTGAGGAATCTCCAAATTGTTCTCCACAGTGGCTGGACCAATTTACATTCCCACCAGCAGTGTAAGAGAGTTCCCCTTTCACGACACCCCCGCCAGCACTAATCGTTTTTTGTTTTTTTAATCTTAGTCATTCTGACTGAGGTTAGGTGGTGTCTCATTGTTGTTTTGATCTTCATTTCCTTTACAATGAGCGATGTTGAGCATTTTTTCATATGCCTTTTAGCTATTTTTTTCTATGCAAAAAAGCATCATGACTCTTCCAACAACCCAATATTTCTTTTTTTTTAAAGAATTTTTAAAATTAATTATTTATTTATTTATTTAAATTTGACCAGAGAGGGACAGAGTAAGGGAGAGAGAGAGAGAAACTGAGAAAGTGAGCTGCCAGGTCTGGGACTCAAACCATGGTCACCCATGTGGGCGTCCAGCATCCCTAACTACCACCCCACCTGCCAGTCCCTCAACAACCCAATATTTCAAAGGCACATTTAAGATCCTAAAAGTGATAAAAGCCTACATCTTTTTTTTTTAGAGAGAGTTTTGTTGTTATAGGGCACGTGTGCTCGCTGGAGAGATAGAAAGACAGAAAGCGAGAAATCACCCCATCACACCGCAATCCCTCCTCCTCCATTCTCCTCTTGGGATTTTGGGCACACATGCACATGTACCTGGTGTGAGTTCCAGGCCGCCAGGTCTGGGATAACCGTGGTCACCTGGTAGCCCAGCAGGGTAGCCATTATGCCATCTGCTAGTCCAAAAAGCCTAAGAATTTTAAAGTGCATTTTTATATCTAGAAAAATTACACGCCCCAGATTTTTTTTAAAAAAGTACTCAAACCCCATGTAAGTAAGTGGCAAAATGGAAGATGTTATTTTGAGAAACACGAAACACTTGTGAAAACGTCGAGCACTTGATGAAGTGAACAGAACAAGAGAGCAAGAAATGCAGCAGCTCGAGAGCAATCAATCTGGCAGACAAAAATATAACTTTGCTCCTTGTGAGGCAGAGCAAGAGCAAGAATAAAAGGTTCTTTAAATACCTCCACAGCAGGAAGGCGGCTAGAGGATCAATGCGCCCACTTCATTAAGCAGAGTACCAAGGGTAAATAAGTGATGGCTAGAGATGAAAGGAATACACCACGCCAGGCTGAATTCTGCTAAGGTCGCTTCACCTGAACTTTGAAGCAGCAAAGGCTTCAGCATGCCAGAGCCAAACATAGGAGGAATTTGGGGGACCAACAGGTGGCATCGTGGTTAAGGCACTGGACCACCACAGGGCCTACTGCAGCTCAAGCCCCAGACCTGGAGGCTTGAAATGCACGCCGGGTGTGTGTGTGTGTGTGTGTGTGTGTGTGTGTGCCCAAAATCTGAATGAGAACGGAGAAGGGACTGCAGTGAGACCATTCCCCCCAGGGACCAGGGGGGAGATTTCTCACTTTCTCTCTCTCTGTCTCTGTCCCTCTGGCAAGCACATACACCTATAGCAAAAATCCTTCTTAAAAAAAACTTAGGAGTAATTTTTAAGTTTTTTTGTCAATATACTGTGGTCTATGTAAAGGTGTTTTTTATTTTTTTAAGTATTTTTTTTGAGAGGCTTTTGCTATAGGGCACATGTGCTCACCAGACAGACAGAGAGAGACAGAGAGACAAAAAGCAAGAAATCACCCCCCAGGGGGGTGGCCATGCCACAATCCCTTCTCCTCCATTCTCCTCTCAGGATCCTGGGCATGCACGCACATGCCCCCAGCGTGAATTGAAGCCACCGGGTCCGGGACTCGAACTGTAGTTGACTACATGGGAGTCCAGCGACATAGCCATTCCGCTAACTGCTGGTCCCAAGGTGTTCTTTTTAAAAATATATATATTATTTTTACTTTATTTATTTATTTATTTATTTATTTATTTTAATTTGACCAGATTGAGAACAAGAGAGGGAAAGTGAGAGAGCAAGCTGCCATGTCTGGGACTCAACCTGCGATCAACCACGTGGGGGTCCAGCACCCTCAACCACCACACCACCTACCAGCCCTATGGTGTTCTAAAATGTAG